TTTTTTTTTTTTTTTTTTTTTTTTTAATGTTCTGTCTTTGCTTGTTCTTGCAGACTTGTGTTCTTAAAGTCAATATACACTGTGATGGATGCAAGCATAAGGTGAAGAAAATCTTGCAGAAGATTGAAGGTATTGCTCAAACTTTAGCCTTTATTGCTCTTTTTAAGACCATATAATATAATGGGTTGTGTGCTAGTCTACCTAACATTTTGAACTAATTATCTAAAATCCTAAAGGACTTTGAACTCTAAAAAGAACAGTAATATTAATTGAACTAATAAAATCTGAAAGTTGAAACAATAATACTTCTACAAATCACTGGAAAAGGGGTTTTGTGAAATGTTTCTGTTTGTGAATTGGGGGCATCAATGGGTTTTTTTTTTGTGATTTTCAAAAGCTACTGCCTTTTGTTTTTTTTGGGCAAATTAGCCCCAAAACTCAATGTTTCTTTTATTTTTCCTGTGTACAATCATCCATGTTCCTTTTGCTTGTTCTTTTGGAATTTTAGGTGTATACACCATAAAAATAGATTCAGAGCAAGGCAAGGTCACGGTGTCCGGCAACGTCGATTCGTCCACCCTCATAAAGAAGCTGGTAAAAAACGGCAAACATGCCGAGATTTGGGGTGCGCCAAAGTCCAACAACAATAACCAAAACCAGCTCAACAACCAGTTGAAGAACCTCCAAATGGATAATGGCAAAGGGGGCAACAATAACAATACCAAAGGCCAAGCCCAGAAAGGAGGTGGTGGTGGTGGTAATAACAGTAACAACAACAACAACAAGAATAATAATAATAACAATAATCAGCAAAAAGGAGGTGCCAACAATAGCAATAATAATAACCAGGCGAAAGGCGGCGGTCAGAACCCACAGTTTCAGCAGCTCCAGCAGATGAAGGGGTTTCAGGACATGAAGATGATGGGGCAGTTGATGAAGGACATGAAGATGCCGGCAAACGGCAAGGATCAGAATGCAAAATCGGTCAAGTTCAAGGTTCCGGAGGATGATGGTGGCTTGAGTGACGATGATTATGATGACGATTTTGATGATGATGATGAAGATGACTTTGACGATGATGACTTGGAGGACGAAATGGATGATGGGCCTCCGTCCAAGATGAAGCCCGTTATGGGCAAGGGGCCTGGCGGCAGCATGGGCTTGCCCAACATGATGCATAACATGTTGAACGGTCAGAACCCTCATCTCGGAAAGGGTGCTGGAGGCGGTAATGGCGGCAACAATGGCGGTGGAAATGGGAAAAAAAGCGGAGGTGGAGGCGGAGGCGGAGTGAATATTCCGGTTCAGATGAATCATGGTGGTGGCAAGAAGGGTGCAAATGAGAATAAAAGTAATAATAATGCTGGTGGAAATCAAAATCAAAACCAAGGTGGTAAGGGCGGCAAGAATGGTGGCGGCGGCAATAATGGCCAAGCCAAGAACGGCGGTGGCGGTGGTGGTGGCAGCAATGGTATGATGAACGGAGCGAAGAAAATGGCCGGATCGAACGACGGGCCTCACGGCGTGCCAGGCATGATGGTAGGGGCCCACATGGGGAACATGCAGATGGGCCCGATGGGTGGCCAAATGGGGAATCTTGCGGCCGTCCAGGGGCTGCCGGCGTCTGGCGGCGGCTATTTCCAGGGAGGAGGAGGTGGTGGTCCCGAGCGCGGTGGGCCCGCAGGGGGCCCATACAACATCCCGTACCAGCAGCAGCAGCAGATGGCAGCGATGATGATGAATCAGCAGCGGGCGAACGGGAACGAGAGGTTCCAGCCGATGATGTACGCCCGGCCACCGCCGGCTGTGAATTATATGCCTTCGCCGTACGGGCCGTACCACGGGGGATACCCGTCTTACCCGCCACCGGGAGAGCGGGTCGATCAGTACTCGATGTTTAGCGACGAGAACACAGACAGTTGTGCCGTGATGTGAGATCGGGCCAGGGCCGGGCCCGGTGCTCCAGGTGGTTTGGTGGTCTTTTGGAGTTTGCTAGTGGTGGGTGTGCCTTCTCAAAGTGTTGAAGGGTTTGGTTTATATAGTTTGGTAGTGGTCTAAGGCTGCTTGTGTGTTGTTTAAAAGTTTGTAGTTTGTTGAATTTGAATACTACCAGTGTTGATGCCATAAATACACAAATGGGAATGATTAATGGTTTTTATTTTTGTATTAATTTGATTTTTTAGTTGGATTTCAGCTTTTATTATTTTATATTATATATTTATTTATTTTTTGTTTCTAAATAATAGGCTTATGTAAGGGAGTGGGAGATAATATTTTATAGGAAACTTTTGCTTCATTTTTGGCAAGTTGTGATTTGGGATTGTGGTAGATGTTTGTAAATTGGAAAAAAGGTAATAATAATAAAAAAATTATAACTCTTAAACGAATTGATCGTAAGCTTGGTTCGGCTTGTTAAGATTCAAACTTGAAGTGTGAAAACACCTTACTTTGAAATCAATAATGCTTGAATCGTCTTTGAATTGCTTCAGTTACCTGAAAAAAAATATAATAATGCTTGATTCGTCTTCGAATTGAAGTGTGAAAACACCTTACTTTGAAATCAATAATGCTTGAATCGTCTTTGAATTGCTTCAGTTACCTGAAAAAAAATATAATAATGCTTGATTCGTCTTCGAATTGCTTCAGTTACCTGAAAAAAATTTGTCGATGTAAAATTTTTTACGTTCGGGTCAGAATTCTCCCGAATGTGCATGACTACGGTATGTTTTATGTCATAGGATTTTTTATACATGTCTCGCCGCTATTTATATGAATTACCTTTTTAAACCTAATAAATATATATAAAATACGAATAAGGTTAAATCAATTTTAATAAGAATTTCTCATCAAAATAATTAATGACCTTCCAAAAGAAGAATTATCACACATTTTAAATACAAAAAGAAAAGCATTAATTACATGGGAGAGAGTAGCCATGAACAAAGGGATTCGTTTTGGACTTTGATTTTGTAAAAA